CCCTCTCTGCTGTGTCCCAGGAGCAATCCTGCCCACATGGAAAACAGCTGAAAGTCTTACCCATCAGTGCCACCAGGTCAGGCTTGCCAAACTTAATTCCAAAGCAGATCCCAAAATAGCCCTGAAGCTCAGTTCCAGTCTCTTCTGGCCATGATCTGGGAGCAGTTCTGGCCAGCCAAGTTCCTGCCAAGAGACACACTTATCTGAGTTCCCAGGGCAGGCTTGCTGACCTCTGTCTACCTGTGGATCCTCAAATGGCCCTGAATATTGGTCCTGACACCTTTCATCTGCAAACTGAGAGTTCTGCCCACCCAGGGATCCAGAGGGAGGCATGTCCAGCAGTACCCCTGCAGGCTGACCTCCTGACCTCAGTCCCATTGTGGATCTTGAAACAGCCCTATAAATTAGCACTTCTCAATGTGGTCTGACAGCAGGTCTGCCACACAAGAACCTGCTAGTACAGCTGTTTATGATTCCTGAAGCAAACCCTCTTCCCAGTGCCATCCCCATGGACCAAAGTCCTGGAGACAGTCCAGTTTACTCAGAGACAAGATAGAACCCATACCTACTAGAGTCTTTGGTAACAGGCCCACTAGTTGATGTCTGCACTGTGAACCCAGCATCAGCTGCATGATCCAGATCCAAACCCACACAACAATCACAGAGACTATAATTCCTTCAGTGCAGAGACTGAAGACTATAACTTGCCAAAACCATTATGTAAAGACTGACAGAGGGGTTTACTTTTTCAGATGCACAGACACATGCAAAGCTACATAAGTAATAAAGGATCAGGCAAACATGACACCACCAGAGGAAACTAATAAAACTCCAATAACCAACCCTAAAGAAATGGATATATACAAATTGCCTGAAAAGGAATTCAAAATAATCACCTTGAAGCTCAATGTGGTGCAAGAAAATATAGACAACTAAAAGTTAGGAACACAATACATAAACAAAAATAAAAGTTTAATTAAAAAAATAGAAACTATTAAAAAGAACCAAACAAATCCTGGAGCTGAAGAATACAATGACAAATGAAAAAACAAAGAACTTCAAAAGCAGACTCAATGATGCAGAAGAAAGCAAACTCAATAACAGGTCATTTGACATTATCCAATTAGAATAATTAAAAAAAAGATTGAAAGAAAGTGAAGAAAGCATAAGAGACCTATGGGACAACATCAAACATGTTTTAAATGTTTATGAATTTAAAACAAATGTATAAATTATGGAAGTACCAGAAGGAAAAGAGAGAGAGAAAGAGCAGAAAGCTTATTTAAAAAAAAAAATACTGTCTGAAAATTTCCCAAATCTTGGGAGGGATATGGACACCCAGATTTAGGAAGCTCAAAGGACTCCAGGATCAATTCAAAAAAGAATAGTTTGAGATACATTACAATAGAACTGACAAAAGTCAAAGACAGAGAAAAATTTGAAAGCAGCAAGACAGAAGAAACTCATCATATAAGGGAACCTCCATGAGGCTGTCTGCAGACTTCTCAAAAGAAACTTTGCAAATCAGGAGGGAGTAGTAGATGACATATTCAGTGTGATAAAAGAAAAAAAGATGCCAACCAAGAGTACTACACTCAGCAAATCTGTCCTTCAGAAATGAAGGAGA